ACGCTTCACATGGACGTGTGGGGCCCGGCCCGCGTCCGTGGACAGGGTCACGAGCGCTACTTCCTGCTGGTGGTTGATGACTACTCGCGTTACACCACAGTCTTCCCCTTGCGCAGCAAGGGTGATGTCACTGAGGTGTTGATCGACTGGATCCGCGCAGCTCGTCTCCAGCTCAGGCAGAGCTTTGGCTCGGACTTTCCTGTTCTGCGTCTGCACTCTGACAGAGGTGGAGAGTTCTCCTCTGGCCTTATGCGAGCCTACTGTCGTGCACGAGGCATCCGCCAGACCTTCACGCTTCCGGACTCTCCACAGCAAAATGGGATTGCTGAGCGCCGCATTGGCATGGTCATGGACGTCGCCCGTACGTCCATGATGCATGCGGCTGCCCCCCATTTTCTGTGGCCGTTTGCGGTTCGATACGCGGCGCATCAGATCAACCTTCACCCCAGGGTCTCCATGCCGGAGACCTCCCCAGCTTTGCTGTGGACGAGGAAGGTTGGCGATGCGTCTGCGTTCCGTGTCTGGGGATCTCGGGCGTTTGTCCGCGACTTGTCTGCGGACAAGCTGTCCCCTCGTGCTGCTCCTTGCGTCTTCCTTGGCTTCCCCCCTGACGCGCCAGGGTGGCAGTTCTACCACCCCACCTCTCGCCGTGTTCTGTCCTCCCAGGACGTCACGTTTGACGAGTCGGTCCCCTACTACCGCCTCTTCCCCTACCGCACTCCGTCCCTCCCCCCGCCACCGCTCTTCCTTGTGCCAGGTCCCCCCCCGGTAGACCCCCTCCCCACTCAGGGTCCTGCCCCTTCAGGTGTGTCCCAGGTAGACGCAGTCGAGCCTGTCGAGGTTACTGGTGACTCTGGTGCTGCTGAGGGTGCTGAGCCTGGGGGTGCTGACTCTGGGGGTGCTGAGCGTGTGGGTGCTACGCCTGGGGGTGCTGAGCCTGAGGGTGCCACTACTGGGGGTGCTGAGCCTGGGGGTGCTGAGCCTGGGGGTGCTACTACTGGTGGTGCTGAGCCTGGGGGTACTGAGCCTGGGGGTGCTACGCCTGGGGGTGCTGAGCCTGGGGGTGCTACGCCTGGAGGTGCTGAGCCTGGGGGTGCGGAGCCTGACGGAGCTGAGCCTGCTCGTGTGGCGTCTGGCGGTGCTGAGCCTGGAGGTTCTCCGGGTGCTTCGTCTCGGCGGGAGCCGCTCTCTCCACAGGAGCTGCGCGAGTGGTTTGCCCGGCGCTGGAGGCGTGCTGCGGGAGCTGGAGGTTCTTCGGCTGCTGAGGGTGCTGGTGCCGCGGGTCCCGGAGGTGCTCGTACTGGGAGTACTGGAGCTGCTGGGCCTACGGGTGCGACTGGAGCTGGAGCTGCTGAGGGTGTTGGCGCTGAGGCTACTGCTGTCGGTCCTCGAGGCGGTCCTGCTGCGGGTCCTAGTGGTGCTGCTGGAGGTACTGGAGCTGGAGGTGCTGCTGGTGCTGGTGCTGCCGCTGGGGGTACTGGTGCTGTCCCTGCTGTGTCTGGAGTCGCCGCGCGGCCTCGGCCGTACTTCGTTCCGCTCCTTCAGCAGGTGCTTGGTCTCCCGCCTTCTACTGGTCCTCCTCCTCCCTTAGAGTGTCCACAGCCTGTCCCGTCACAGTCACAGTTACAGCCGGCCTCCCCACTGCCCGCTCCTTCTCCCTACACTGGTCCTACTGGAGGTCTTGCTGAGCGTCGTGAGCCTGCGTCTCGCCCTGCGTCGCCTGTCCGTGCTGCTCGCACTAGTGGTCGTGGTTCGCGTCAGCGTCCTCCTTCTGTCCCAGGCACGCACCGGATGTCTCTGCGTCCGTCCACTGCTCCTCTGCGTGCCCCTTTGCCTTCTCCTCCTGAGTCCTCTCTTCCTGCTCTTCCCGACCCAGAGTCGGACTCTCTTCGTGCTGCCAGTCCTACTGTCACGCGTCTCCTTGCTACTGTCGTCACTGACCCTTCCTTTGAGTCCACTGCTGCGTCTGCCCTAGTTGCTGAGCTCGTCGACTTTGCTGCTCGCTGTCGTCTAGACTACGCTGCTAGTCTTGTCGTTGAGTCTGAGTCTGTCTGTCCTCCGTCCGTCGGGGGTGAGTGTGCCCTTGGCACGGACGTCCTTGAGGACAGGCAGGAGGAGTTCCAGTGTTTGGCTGCTGCTTCACCTCATCTCGTGTCCGTACTGCTTACCCCTGAGGGAGACCCGGATGCACTTGACATCCCGACTCCGCGCTCTTACGCGGAGGCGATAGAGGGTCCCTACTCCTCTTAGTGGCAGGCAGCTATGGACACAGAGATGGCTTCCTGGAAGTCCACAGGCACCTACGTTGACGAGGTTCCCCTGCCTGGGGCGAACATCGTCAGTGGCATGTGGATTTTCAGGGTGAAGCGGCCACCGGGTTCTCCGCCTGTCTTCAAGGCGCGTTACGTGGCTCGTGGCTTCAGTCAGCGGCAGGGAGTTGACTACTTTCAGACCTTCTCTCCCACCCCGAAGATGACCACTCTTCGGGTACTGCTACACATAGCTGCTCACCGCGACTACGAGCTGCACTCTCTTGACTTCAGCACTGCTTTCTTGCAGGGCAGCCTGCACGAGGAGATCTGGCTGCGTCGCCCACCTGGCTTCACTGGGTCTTTTCCTCCTGGCACCCAGTGGAGCCTCCGGCGGCCAGACTACGGTCTCCGCCAGGCACCGCGTGAGTGGCACGACACACTGAGGACTACACTTGCGGCTCTTGGGTTTGCTCCCTCTACTGCCGACCCGTCGCTGTTTCTGCGCACCGACACTTCTTTGCCGCCGTTCTACATCCTCGTGTACGTCGACGACTTGGTCTTTGCCACAGCTGACACTGCTGGACTCGCCCACGTGAAGTCCGAGCTGCAGAAGAGACACACGTGCACAGACCTGGGTGAACTGCGCAGCTACCTTGGCTTGCAGATCACCCGGGACAGAGCACGCCGCACCATTACCCTGACTCAGTCACACATGGTGCAGCAGGTCCTTCAGCGCTTCGGCTTCACGTACTCCTCGCCTCAGGCCACTCCTCTGCCTACTCGCCACTCGCTCTCAGCTCTGCCTTCGGATGAGTCCGTAGAGTCGAGTGGCCCGTACCCAGAGCTTGTTGGCTGCCTCATGTACCTGATGACCTGCACACGACCTGACCTTGCATACCCTCTTAGCATTCTCGCACGCTATGTTGCTCCTGGGAGACACAGACCGGAGCACATGGCTGCAGCGAAGAGGGTGTTGCGCTACTTGTGCAGTACGTCGGGCATGGGGCTTGTGCTTGGAGGGCAGAGTCCAGTGGTCCTCACTGGGCACGCAGACGCTTCTTGGGCTGACGACCAGGCTACGCAGCGGTCGTCACAGGGTTACACCTTCAGCCTTGGTTCCGGCTCTGTTTCGTGGCGGGCTACCCGCTCGTCTTCTGTTCTCGGCTCCAGTTGTGAGGCTGAGATCTACGCCGGGGCCATGGCTGCACAGGAGCTTCGCTGGCTCACCTACCTGCTGACTGACCTCGGAGAGCCGCCTCGTTCTCCTCCAGTGCTGTGCGTAGACAACAAGGCCATGCTGGCCTTGTGTCGAGAGCAGAGACTGGAGCACAGAACGAAGCACATTGCTCTCCGCTACTTCCTTGCTCGTGAGCTACAGCAGCGTGGTCAGCTGCGGCTTGCGTACGTGGCCTCTCAGGCCAACAATGCTGATATCTTCACCAAGGCACTTGCGCCTTGTGATCATCAGCGCTTCTGTACTCAGCTGGGTCTTGTGCCTACCTTGCCTCACTTGCTCACCCCTTGACCTTGCTTGTACTGTTGCATATATATATACACCTGCTCTTGCTTGTCTAGCCTTATATATATATGTAATCATGCATGTGAACTGGCCTTGTGGCCTTGAACTTGTGCTCGGAATGTGTGGTGACTTTGTGATCCACCCTGAGCTTGCTTTGCTTTGCTTGACTGGTCTTGTGACCCCTTGTTCTCCCCCACTTTGCCTATGGGGGTGTGTCAGATTTATATGACATAGCTACTGTAGGCTATAGTGGGGTAGCACATATGGGGTACAGTTTTCTAGGGTTTGCATTTGTACCAAACTTTCCCTTAGTCAATTCATTCTCGTTCAGTTTCTCACTAAGCACCTTGTTGAATGTCCGTGCAAGAATGGGGCCCAATCCAACACCATTCCACAACTTTTACTCGTTTGGCACTATTAATCGTCGTGTTAGAATATCGTCCGCTCCCGCGTAACCGTTGTGGCATAGCCTAAAGGTGCTTAGTACAACCGTCAGAAGTAATACTTCTGGACGCTCAATGTGTGTGTGACATGAGACAAACCCACTACCTTACCACAACCCCATAGTAAACCATCAGCCACATAGTTTTAGATGAATGTATTTGTTGTATTTTTGAATTTTATTTAGCTCCTATGTGCAACACTGTGTGTTCGCGACAGCACTGTACTTTGCAGGGATTTGGTTACATTCGCACTATTGGTTCCGAAACCGTTCTACCATGTGTAGTGATTGATGCGTTGGCAACAGTGATTGGCCGACGCATCTCAAACGATTCCCCCCGCAACACAAGCACCAGCCAAGAGGTGCTTCCGCCATTGAGCGGCTGAGATCGAGCGGTAGGTGGGTTCATGCTCGGGTGGCTACACGTACACCGTCCGATATAGCCTGATAGGGTTACAGTAATCTCCCTAGTCTCGCAACCCACCCTCGTGCCCCGCCCACCTGCTTCCGTCACCCTCTGCGCTGCTCGCTGTTTGACATAGGCGTTTCCAGATCGCCCGTGTCTCACCAGTATACTAAGTCATGGGCCGTAGCTCTGTGCTTAGTGGCTACTATTTCAGTTTTAGTTGAAGCGGAGGTTTTCGGAGAAAGATAACAGTGATAGACCATCGAATATCCCTTCGTGGGATTCAGTTGCGGTACCCCTTGGAAACCGGCTCAACCGTTCAGCGTGGTAGAAATTAGCATTCCTACAACAACCATGACATGTGCAACACGTCAACAAGCA